ATTAAACATGGCACGTGGAACTAGAACAGTCTACCCCAGTGAACGAAATAAAGGATTCAGTTCGACATTCCAACCACCTGAATAAGTCCAGAGCGTACAACGGCCGAAACGTTGAAATAAATATGGCGACAAAGTTGAGGACAATAGTCCAAATAATGTAAATGATGTACATAATACCTCAGAAATATAGACGGTTACTGAACAGAGAATTGTTTTATTGTTTAAGTGAGTAAGTTTCAATGACATTGCTCTAGCAACATTCTCACTATAATGTTCCATTTTTGCGGTAAGAAACTAACACACCTGCAAACAGAAATCGGATCATAGTGTGAGGAAATATTGTTAAGAACGGAAATAACAGGACCCGATAAATTAATTTTACAATCGCAACCGAATATTTTAGATATATTTATTTTATTATATATATATATATATATATATATATATATATATATATATATATCCAGGTACATTGTCTAATATGTATTCATTAACACCCGCTCAAATCTACGGGTCATGACGCATTTATGAAAAATAATTTAATTTTTGCTCCTTCCCTTAGTGCAAATTTAACGTAGGTCATATTCGATTTATTGATATGAGTAAAACCCACAAACCTTATATATCCCCACTTTTTTCTATTTTTTTTCTTTTTCGTAAAAGTGACTGTATTTTGTTTTTAAAAGTAAATAAGCCGTTCACTCGCCAGTAATTTACAATCGTCTGATGAGATGCGTTGATACGCATTGAAACTCGACTGCAATAGTGATTTTGACATGTTTTCCGATATAATATCCTAAAATAAAGTATATATATATATATATATATATATATATATATATATATATATATATATATATATATATATATATATATATATATATATATATATATATATATATATATATATATATATATATATGTCATATATATGTTTAACTGCAAATGTGTCCAAGTTGTGTAACAGTATAATTGTTGTCCAACCCACAACAAAATGTTTAATATCTAAAAAAAAACATTAAACTAACTGAGTTTCTTTTTACAGGTTTTCAAATAAGACGGTAAAACATCTTGATACCATATGTCGTAAGAATCACTAAAAAAACCTCTGAGTTATTCAGACAGAAAGAGAAAAGGATAAAACCGTTTTGTGTCAGCCCCACTATGTCTTTTCAACTGACCAATGGTGAGAAGAAAAAGTTCATTCAGGCCTTCAGTTATGGTACCAGCATTCAGACTCTCGCTTCCATTTTCAAAGTCCATTCAAAAACCAGCAAGAGAATTGTGAATAAGTTTTAAAAAGAGGGAACAATGTTGAAAACTGAATCAGGAGGTCACAACAGGAAGAGGGATCCTCATTTCAACTTAGAGCTAAATAGATCAATTAGAAAAGATCCAAATCACTCCATAAGACATTTGGCACGTGAGATGGTTATGACAGTCCAAAGAGTAGTGAAAAAAAGACTTGAAAATGAAATCGTACATTAAACCTGTTAGGCAACTTGTTGCTCCAGGAGAGAAAGTTATAGAGGGCGAAGATCATCCTGAATAAGTTGGAAAATGTTCCTGAAATAATATATATATATTTGAACTTCATTTCAATCCTTTATGAGTTTCAGATGTTTAATTAATGATGAACATGTGCTTTTCATTTATGACGGATTTTATCACGATTCTTCTGTTAAGCTTGGAGAGTAATTATAAAATCTTATTGCTCAAAGGCCAGTAGAATTATACAAACCTCGGAAAATTCTATTAAGGTATCTTTAATCATTCCTAAGATAAAACGCTTAATAGCAAATTAACAATTTTGCACCCGACAAACACACACAAATTAAATTTAATTATATATATATATATATATATATATATATATATATATATATATATATATATATATATATATAATTAATTTAAAGAAAAAAGCAGGAATCTTTAAGGTTCCATTAGTTATAATTTATTTCACCAGAGATTTTGTTTTTTCTCTGGTGAAATAAATTATAACTAATGGAACCTTAAAGTGGTCTATTTTTTTCTTTAAATTAAATTATTCGCTCTGACTTAACATTTCATCTTCCTTGAGATCATCTATCCGGATTACCAAGATTTTCGTTACTTAACTAAACATACATATATATATATATATATATATATATATAAATAATTTATTAAAATGAAATCTAATTTTGTCTACAATATTTAACGATCTGTCTTTTCTTTCCCATTTTTTCTATAAAATATAGCCTCAGGCTGTGCAGACGGTTCCACTGAAGGTTTTCAATGGCGTAGCAACATAGCAGCTTGCTCGGGCTACTGGCAAGGTCATATAGAGAACGCCAGTTCCTTGTGTGCAATCGGTTGGAAAGTTTGTTCCTGGCAGGATACCCGCATCTTGAAGAATATCACATGGGAAGAAGCAATATCTGTCGATGGATGTTTTGCTTACAACGCAGCTCAAGATGGTGGCAGATGTCGAGAGTGCAGAGATAACATGGAACAGGTAAGTTAATTTTTATTTGCTGAACGCCACGCATATTCTACAATTCAGAGGCGAATCAATGTGAATGACATTGATCAAGAAAGTTCGTTAATTGATCTCGTTCTTTTTGCTTTTATTGTTACCATGGATTAAATGCAATAAATGTGGCAATGTAATATGTTGCTAATTACCTCCCTTGACGCTTGCTCTTTATATAAAAAGGTATCTTTATAAATATATATATATAGAAACGTGGCTGAATCCTCCTAAATTCTAGTGTTTGGAATATGTCAATATTCAATGTTTTCAAGCAGGACGGTAGCACTTTTCTTCTGGTAATGGTAATGGTAATATTATATTTGGTAACATTCAGCAAGTTCTAGTGTCACTTAAAATTTATAAAAGCTTTTTAGTGAAATAATTTTTCAGGAAAATAGATTTCTTAAATTCACTAACTTATCGCACTTTTCTGTACTGGCGGAGGCTTTCTTCCTAACCTTTTGTTTGAAGTAGTGTGTACTGTCGACTATATTCGAGCTACATGTGACATTCTCAAATTGTTACTGTTGTTGAAATTTCTCAAATGATGTTGCTTCTGTTATCCGATACAGTTATTTGTTTGTGATTGTGTAGCGCCAGTCTACGAGAATTGGAGACGGTCATTAGATCAAAGCTATTTTTAATTATTCTGAGAAAGTGGTTGTATACAACTGACAATTTAGACAATCCTAAATTTGTGGAATAGTATGCATGATATCCATGTGAGAGTCTAGATTTGATGAAGTTATTTAAGAATTAGACTCGAATTCTTAGCTTTTTGCTTTTTGATTTTGTAGCATCTAGATGTTTGGGGTAAAACTATCACTAGCGCAACCGAGTCTTTGTTCAATTTCCTTATCTAATATACTAACTTACTTATAAATGATCCATACACTTGGGTATTTAAAGTAGTTGGTATATATTAATTTCTCGTCTTGAATTGTTATGATAGATTGAGGCTAGGTGCCACCACTACTTTCATTCAAATTCTAGATCATAGTTTCTGTTACATAAAGGTTTACCTTGAATCACATTTCTTGAAAGACTTGGTAGAGAATGTTGATTTTGTGTTCAAAATTGATAGATTATACTAATACTTTTTTTTTTTTTTGAGAATAGTACTAGATTGGCGACTAGGTCCCATCATTTTACAGATTAAATGGGTCGATGTAACCGTAAACTCTATGATGAAATTTTTTTTTCTCGTAATTCTCGTTGTAGAACTTTCTTCTGGTTCCTTGCTTTCCAGTCAAGTTTGATCCTAAAAAAAAAAAAAAATTAAATTCAATGTAACTCGTTATGTTCTGCCTTCTTAATTTATTTTCTCTTATTGTTTTTGCCCCTTAATAAAGTTTTTCTCAGATTCTTTCACGCTCAGTGACCCCACCCCAACCCTGCGTGTTAGTGGCTTTGTTGGCTTGGGGTGAAAGATTTAAAAAAAACAAACAATGATCAGAACTATATTAAACACCTTAATATACTAATTGGAACACCTTAGTATACTAATCAAAACATCCTAGTATACTAACCGGAACAACCTAGTATACTGATGTTTGCAAACTTCTCAGTTATTCCGGGCGGTTTTATATTTTATACATGGGGTACTTTTTGAATCCATATTTGCAAACTGAAATACCCTTTGATGTTACTAAATCCGTGTAGGCAACACCATTGTTTCCACTGTCTCAAGCGACGCTGCTTTTTCAGTAAGTCCTCATCCTAGAGGAATAATGTGAATCCTTCTCTCTCTAAATATATCAGATGTTTCCATTTCATATTTGGATAGGATTTTAAAAATATTATTTGAGTCTGACGTTCATTTCTTCCTTATATTACTTTTTTTGCATTTGATTGAGATGTTGTATATGCAGTCTTTTGTCATTTCTTTTGTAAGGCACTATCAAATCGTTGTAATGAAAGTCTATGTCGTTGAAAACCACGCTAATATTACATACTACGATTCTAAAAAGCCATTGAATTCAGACTAAAACATAAGGATATTTCATGTATTTCTTATGCGTCGCCAAACGCTTATATATGTCACTTAACCGCTGTTTAAAACAACTGTGAAATGAGAATTTGGAAGTTGTTATAACAACAACTCAAATTACTAAGAACGAACTACGCATCAGTAATTATGAATATTAAAGCCTCGTTTTAGTTTTTGCAAATACAATGATTTTGTGAAGTTTTATGGGTCAGCTGTTATTGTCCGGTCCGGTCGAATGGATTTGCTTCTTGTTTGAACATTTGCCATCCGTTCTGAGATATCCTTGTTAGAAATTTGAACCTCATCCCTTTTTGCAGTTCGTCCCGTTTGTTTTAATTGCCCATTGGTTTTTTTTTCCTTTTAGCTATTTGTTACGTGTTTTTTTTTCTGTTACGTGTTTTTTTTTTTTTTTTGGCAAAACTTACGTAATTCCAGTTTAGATGTGGCTTTTTAGAATTAAATTAAAATTAAATAAAATTCGTTTAACATTATAAATGTTTCTGCTTCTGAACTTCCCATTGTCATTCATCAATTTTTTCTCATCAAGGACTTATATTTTCTTAATGTAACCACCATCACCGTCACTATTACTACTACTACTACTACTACTACTACTACTACTAATAATAATAACAATAACAATAATAATAATAATAATAATAAGAAGAAGAAGAAGAAGAAGAAGAAGAAGCTTTGTTTCCGCTTCGCTTACTCTTTATTTTCCTCTCTTTTTTTCTCAATTTTTCTCTCTTTTCAAATCCATTATCCTTTTCTCTAGCTTCCGCTTTTCCTTTTCACCTACTCTTCATTTTTTCCATTTAGTTATTTACTAAGGCTAGCTTAATCTGACACAAAGCCTCTTTAGTGAGGGTTCTAAGTTAAGATCGAACTCATCACATCGCAGAGGAGAAATGTTATACAAAACTAGTTTACTAACTCGCACTACAGAAGATGCATTAACTTAGCTAAAAGGTATAAAAAAAAAAAAAAACGTATACCCAATGACGACTGACCGCATCTTTCTAGAGGAATAATAATAATAATAATAATAATAATAATAATCACATTAAAGCAGGTATTTTTTCTTAGTTTATTAAATTCTGCTTAATTCTTTAAGGTGAGTAGTCCTTTTCCCTTTTTTCGTCTTTTTCTTTTCTTCTCAATATACCTCTTAAATCTTCCTGTTTTTATTAATTATGCTGCTTCTCATTTTACAGGATTTTATGTTGCTATTTCGTTTTTAAGTCTTATCCAAAACCATTAAGTTCGACTTATACAACTCACCCTAACCTTTCATCTTGTATCAATTCTCTTCCCATAATTCCTTTCTTTTTTTATTTACTTCCTTTGACAGGGTTTCGCTAAACCAATAACTTATTGAGATTCCTTTGAGTCACTTTTTTGGCACATCCCTGGAAAAGGTCACTCGGCTCAAATACGTGTTCAGTGTAATGTAAGGGTGAGTGATCTACTCTCTCAACTTGAAAACAATTAGAATGAAGCGAAAAAGAACAAAAAAGCAACAAAGTATCAAGTACGGAAATAAATAAAAAAATAATCTAAAATGCTTCTAACCACGCAACCACGAGAAAAAAAGAATGGCAAAAAACGACTCAAGCGTTCAGTCTTACAAAATATTTGTACAATGACGTTAAACATCCCAGATCAGAAGCAAGACTGATTGCAATCTGAGCGTCAAAATATTAACGTCAAAGGGAAGAAGTCAAGAGTTTAAATCACACTTCGCCTTTAAAACATTTTTGCCACGCGAATTTCGGACCAGAGTAACAACTGATTTTGTGAGCTTTTTATAGTAATTTAGTTAGCTTGTCTAAGTTTGGCACAGGGCTATAGTTGTGTGGAATTCAATGGCACAGGGCTATAGTTGTGTGGAATTCAATGAGCATCTAAGTCACTAGATATTGCCCTAAGTTTGAGTCATCTTATAGCTATTAAAGAATATAATGCCGGAAGTAAAATCTACGAGGCCTAGAAAATAATAATATTTTGCATTATTACAGAAAAAAATATCTGGTCAAATGGCATCTGGCATGAGAGTGTGTATTAAACTGTGGTGCAATACCGAATTCTTTCATTTGGAAAAATTGCATTTGTTAATATACATTAACACTTATATAACGTTTAAAGAGACTAAAAACTGGACGAGAGCATTGTTAAGCATTAGGTAATGTGTTCATTAAACATAAATTGCAAGAAGTCAGAATGCATGGTTGTCAGCAAAAGGAACGGCCCAACATCGAATTATAAATATAATATTATGAGGTTTTTTAGCAATGGAAGTAAAATATGCCTATCAAATCGGAAGCCATATTGGGATAGAGAAAATTTCCTTCTAAAAGCTAAGCAAAGAAATTAAGAAACTGGAAACTTTCATGAAAAAGAAAGAAAAGAATAAGTGAACTGTTATAAAATATCTGTCATCCTATATGGAAAGGAAAGCTGAACAATCTCTTCACAAACGAAGAAAAAAATGATGCAACAGAAATGTAGTTCTACAGAAGGATATTGAGTTTTACATGGATCAAAAGTGATCAATGACGAAATTTTAGAGAAAATGTAAACAAAAAGGACATTTCTGCTTAACATCAGAAAGAAACAGTTGAAATTTCTAGATCATATAATGAGGAAAAGGGGCTTAGAAAATATGACACTCAAGAGACATATTGAAAGCAAGAGTGACAGCGGAAAACAAGTTTTAACCTAATTAACGAGATAATGTAAAATGTTTTCAGAACAGGGATTAGGAGAGATAGCGGAACTAAAAAATATTAAAAGCCACAATGGACAAGACATTTTGAAAAGCCAATAATTTTTTATTATAATGCTATAGTTTCTTCAATTTATAGTTCACATGTTGGGCTGTTTCATTTGCTGACAACCATACAGTCTGTCTTCTTGCGGTTGGTGTGTAGTCCTTTCTTCACGCTTTCCTTTGTTTCCATCTCTAGGGGTTCCTGTAGTTTCCTTTCTG